AAGAGAGTTGCTCCCTAAATGGGAGGCCTTTCACCACTTTAAATACCAGTTGGATTCCCTCATTTGAGACTACATGTGTGGTCTTCCTTGCTAATGTTAGACCCTGGAGAGCTCATCAGGGTTCTATAATGTATATTATGCAGGGATTTGAAGGTGAAGGTGATAAATTTGGAGTTTTTTTTTTTTTTTTTTTTGTTTTTTTACAGGGATCAAAAAAAGAACATTTTTTTTTTTTTTTTTTTTTTTGTACTGGGAATCAAACTCAGGACCTTGCACTTGCCAGGAAGGCACTTACATCACTGAGCTATATCCCTGGCACCAGCTTAGGCATTTTAAAAGTAAGCTTAAAAATGTGTTGAGGTCTTGTACCATTGCCTGGAGACCAATATGTTGTAGTGAAGAACATTTCCCAATGTGGAGATTCTGCTTATCATCTTTTAAGATCACAGTAAGAAGGGGCTTTGGACATCTAGTTTATACTTATGATTGTAGCCAAGTCCATTTTCCATTTTCTTTCTACATATTTTCCCCTAACATCCTTGGCACAAAGAAGAAATAAGTGGAACCATTCCAGGAACAAGAATGGATAGTTACCCAGTAGAGTCAGGGCACTAATTCTGCACTGCTTTTTTCAATTAACTATTTTTGCTATTTTGATTGCATCCTGAGCTACCCTTAGTCTGATATTCAAATCTTTCAAGTTATTCCTACATAAACTCTTTTTGATTGTTACTGTACTTTTGGCAACTTGTCTCCAAAATCCTTTTATTAGAACTAGTTCATTGGAACTAATATTTGTGTAGATATAAAAGAATGGCTCCCATCTCTGACAAAACTAAACAAAAAAGGGGATACAAATGAAGGACCATTTTTGTATCTATATATACAAAATAGTTAAGATAAATATACAGCTACATTCTCTTAATCCAATGAGAAGAAAGATTTGTACTAAAAGTGTTTGGACAGGATATCGTGTCTGCCTCTTGTACTGTGAATAACTACTATGAAGACAACAATATGCAATGTATTAATTATTGTAACTGTCCTACTAACCTGTTTTGAAACTGTATCATTGCTATTTCTCAATAAAATTTAAAAAATTAAAAAAAAATAAAAAATAAAAAAATAAAAGAATGGCTATAGCTTCTAAATGTTTTCCTTATATATACATATCTCAGACATAATCATTTAATCACAACTATTATAATCCAAATATTCTAGGCATTGTACGTTGTAAATAAACAAATATAACAATAAAAATTGTCTAAAGGTCCAGCCAAAAAAAAACAAAAAACAAAAAACAAATATTCTAGGCGTCTTAAAAATATAGAAAAGACACCTTGTGAATTTTAGCCAGAAGCTTTTAAGAAAAAAATATATTTTTTTGAAATTTCAGTTAGAAATTTTAGTGTGCCCCAATGGCCAGAGAAAAAGCCAATAAACCAGCAGAGATAGTAAGTCAGAATCCTAAGAAAACATTTCTGAAGTCCAACTTGTTTTTCATGTACCTGAAACAATAAAGTCCCTTTTATTGTATGAACCAGCTTAAATACACATTTCTGTCATTGCCAACAAAGTACAAATTAATAGCTAACTTGCATAGAGCGTCTACACACCCTTCTCACTTGAGAGTCCCTGAGAAAATTAAACCCCAATGCCTAAAATGGGGCTATTTATATCACTGAAGCTCTAAAAACTTACCACCACTGGCCTGTACCTTTGCTGTATGTAAATGATTCAACATTATGGTGCATATGGATAAGTAAATGAGGATCATTTATCTGGACATTATATTTGGGTATCCTTTTGGGATTTGGGTTGTTTTTTGGGTCTTTTTTTTTTTTTTGTATCATATATTCATTACACTGACTGATTAAATGAAAAGTGGAATCCACTAGTAAAATGTGGGTAACATAAAATTATCAGGGCAAGGAAGGTGATAAAGCCCAAGGTAAGTTCTAATATTGTAAGGAAGTGATTAAAGAATAAAGAAAGACTTTAGGTTTGAAAGGCAGTAAAATTCTTTCCTATAGAGGAATTACAATGAAAAAAAATTCTGGAAAAATAGGAAATCATTAAATCGGTTTTACAAAACACCAACAAGTGACTCAAAAGATCTCTCTCTTCCTAGCTAACAACTTTGTTATAGCACTTTGATTTCTTAAAGAAACGTGAACAAGAGGGAACCTAAAACATTTTACAATTTAAAAAAAAGGAATGCTTTTAACTTAAAAAAAACAGCCCTGAAAATATGTTGGTTAAAAAAAAAGTTTTCTTAGATTTCATGATCTTTTTTAAAAAAAAAGCTCCCTGAATTTCTTTTTATTGAATAAAAGGTCAAAATTTCAAAGACAAAAACATTTATATATTCAAGTCTAATTGTATATAGTTGTCCTTTTAAATATTTAAATTGTTATAAAACATAATGTTGGGTTTTTCTGCATGACTTTTGTATCCAAAAAGTCAAACTATGATGTCCATGAAGCTACTAGATAGGGGAAAAGTAATAATTTTAATGCATACTGAATAAGATGATAGGGCTGGCCAAACAGCTCAGTGGAATTAAAGCGCCTGCAAGCAGGTGCAAGGGTCAGGGGTTCGATCCCCAGGCCTGCCATGCTGGGCCCGCCCCCGGGGCACGCCGAGATGGCAATTGAGACTGGGCATGGTGGCGCATGCCTGTAATCCCAGCTCTTAGGAGGCTGTAAACAGGTGGATGGATCACTACGAGTCTGATCTAGTAGTGAAACCCTGAACACCCTGTATACCCTTCCCTAAAATACCAAAAAAAAAAAAAAAAAAAAAAAAAAAAAAGATACAAGAAGGGTGATAAGCAGCTCCTGGCTCTATAAGTGACACCTGGACAAGACACCATTTGTGGCATACCAGTGTAACAGAGACACCAAATGGAAAGCTCTGCATGGATTGTTGTGATTCAATAGTCTGTGTAAGAGAATATAGTTGGAATCTCTAAATTAAAAGTAAAAAGTAACATGTTCTAAATGCTATTTAGTAAGATAAAATGTGTAAGACACTTTTATCTAAAAGTCTGTGTTTTTTATATTCTACTAACACACATT